CGTATTCTACTCGTATGTACTTGTGTTTTACTCGTATGCTACTCGTATGTTACTTGTATGTACTCGTATGTTACTCGTGTGTTACTCGTATGTACTTGGGTGTTACTCGTATGTACTCTTGTGGTGTTTTAGTCACGATCAGGTAAGCATGGTTAAAAATTTTTCGAGTATGCGGACGTATGCATGCACATGCATAGTTTACGCTACTCATACGTTTCTCTCATACGCAATAGTGTGACAGGACCTTAACCAAGATCAGCATGTAATTGCAGTTCTTAAAAAACATGAAAATATTAAACATGTATAAAATATTTGTTTCATTTTATAGTGCCAAAATAAATCTGCACTACGTCTATGATGAGAAAAAAGTGCTCCTTCAAGGCATTCGTATAAATTGGCACACATATATCCTTTCCCGCACTTTTCTTATACATTTTTGTTTATATATACCATGCATGTAGTATTTAATGATACCCTTAAACGTAAAATTTCAAGCATATATAATTGCTGGCATATTTATTACTTACTCTCTATCCAAAAAACAGCCAAATTTGAAACAGTAAACAGTTTTGTATGTTTTTAACGCGAAAAATTTAAGTAAATACAAAAAGAAATTATGGCTTATAATTAGAGGAATTAGCGAAAATTGACTATATTCATGACGCGCTTGTCAGGCGAAAAACACACTGCCCAAAGATTTTATTATTTATTCTAATAGATGTGTCATAATACTCAGTAGCTGCAATAAATTGGATACCTGATACCGTTGCACTTTTGAGAAAAAATAATTTACCGCCAGCATACTAAAACGAATATTTAATCCGCTGTCTGAAAGACGTTTTTAAAAATACACAATATTTTGTTTGCTTCAAGTAAGTGATCAGCATAATTTTTAGTTTAGGTTTATGCCTAGCCAGGAAATAATAAAATATGTAAGTTTGAAGAAGTTAGGATAAAAGCGCGAGATGAACTGTGAGATATAAAAAAGCTCAAATATATGCACTTGCGTAATTAACGTTTTAACTTGTTTTCGAACGCGTCCGAAAATAATTGCAAAAAATTTTTTAAAACTGACTACAATTTCAAAGTCAACGTTTTTTGTTCATTTTATGAATGACTTCTTCCACACAGAAAGTTTGAAGAAAATCTGTAATCTCAAGAAATTCGAGTGGTCGGTTTTTACACGGACTGCCTCTTATGCTCGTACGTTCCCACTACCAGATGGTGTTTAATAAGAGCAGGGGCATGGTTTCTAGTGCAATATGACACTGAATGAAAATATTTGGGAGTGTATCCATATTATATAAATATTTACGGAAATAAACAATGAACTAATAAAAAATGACGACAGTATAAGTTCAGAATGTGCACAGACAAAATATTAAAAATTACGGTAGTATATACAGTATTTATAACTTCACACACTCTTTTTGAAACTACAGTAGAACCTGCTATCTCCAACAGCGAAGGAAACAGAAAAAAGTTCGAAACGTAATCTTGCTATAGTAACTGTGACATCAATTGAGATTGCAAAACCGTCGTTCAGAGTTTTAAATTTTGAGCATGGGTATCTGAACATCTGAAATTACTAATTTCCGTTTACAGTGTTTACAATCCTTCAAAAAAGACAAAGAAATCTATTTTTTGAGGTTTTTCACATAATAAAAATCTTATTGATTGGTTTGACATATAATCCTTTATGTTCGAAACTCGTAAAATATATGTCAAAACAGCCTAGACCTAAGCCTTCTATTTTTATTCTTATTTTTATATTCAACGCTTTTTCACATGAGAAGACTGGAACTTAGGCGATTTGGGGGTGGGGCAGTCAAAAATTAAAACTTTATTACTTTAGTACATTTTTAGTATTGGTTTCTCTCAAATCGTAGCCAGCTATTCTGTTGTATATAAATGTCGAACTGGCTGATACGACTATTGTATTTTGTCATATATATATATATATATATATATATATATATATATATATATATATATATATATATATATATATATATATATATATATATATATACTATATATATATATATATATATATATATATATATATATATATATATATATATATATATATATATATATATATATATATATATATATATATATAAAAACCGCGTATAATGGTGAAAGCACCCAACAAAATGTTGTTTGATCACTTAAGACAGCTATGGCTTTCCATACTCATGCGCGATTTAATTTCGCGCACCCTGTTCATATTCGCGCAGTTTTAAATTCGGGCAAGAAATTATTTTTGGTTTGTTTAATAGAACTATTAACAATTAACGTACTTAGGAGTATTTTTTATCAAAACCTAATCAAAAAGCGATTATGTGGCCTCAGAAATGGTTTCAAAATTATGTAATAAAACTAAAACATTTATTGTATGGTTCTCATTTGCCTAATACAATAACAATAATCTTTTATTAGCATTCCCATATATTATAGGTTCATAAATGGTATAAAACTAACGATGGCCCATAAGTGCAACACAAAAATATATTTCAAACACACAAATATATCTCAAAACACACAAATATATTAAGCTAGAGTTCAAATGGATCCTCTTTTCGTTGTGGCTCTTCCAATACGGCGCTCACACATGATCGTTGCCAACCTTTGACAACAATGTTTGAGGATACAGCTGTGGCAAAATGCATGAGGCATTCGTAACGGAATGCTACGCGAATTGTCCGGGAGGAAGACACTTTTTATTTTTAATATTGACAGGACAACTTAAAACATATGATATGTCAAATGTGTAGATGTACGTTAAATAAATCAACTGATTTGCATTACTAATAACCGGTGTCTCATATTACATCACAAAGCTTTTCGCGTCGATTATATTTCGCACATTAATTACTAAAATTCGCGCAACCCAGCGCTGTGCGAATTTTAGTACTGCGCAAATTTTGATACAAGTAAGGTATATGAAATTGTAACAACAAGTCATGTTATGAAAGTTTTTAATGATTGGCATTATTCAAATAGATGCAGGTTTATTAGCATAGTGAATACTGTACAATGTCATATTGTCATATATATCAACAATGATAATACTTGAATGAATCATTGGACATGTAGAGTTTAGTTTAATAATGGCTAGCTTCACCATTAACAGTATAATTATACATACAAAAGCAAGAAGTTATAAGCATTGAAGGGATTCACTTAAAACCCACCATGCCAAGAAAGTAGAATTAGGATATTTAGCTCACCTTCGGCTTTGTACAAGGTGTTCGACTGTTCGATATTCAAATTGCATCAGTCTTTTCCTGCATCCTGAACAGGCGTACTAGCAATCTCGTACCCAGAGTATGCCCGTTCGCAAGTTAGGTCATGCCCAGCACCTAACCTGTGAACGGGCATACTCTGGGCTGTTTACATGATGGAAGGTGGGATGATTTTGATGTATTGAAATAAGTCACTAGGCTAAACGAAAGTTCAAATGCTGGTTAACCGAACTCAAATGTTGTAGAGAAGATCATGTTGTCCAAGAAGACTTTTATAGCTTTTTGAACAACCTTTCGTTTACAGTTAACTATAATCCATCTCTGCAAAATAAAGTTTTTCACGAAATCATCGCGGCTTATATCTCGTCCTGGCAAAGCGGTTTCTCGTCCTGGCAAAGCGGTTTAAGCGGGAACCGCATAATTGTATAAACAGCCCTTATTCAGCAAATTGCGTATGCTCCCTTGTCTTTGATCCCTTGGGGGTGAGGCAGCACTTTCCTTGCGATAGTAACTTCTAGTTTAATCCATGAAACCTTGTTGCTGAACAGAAATGAGGTACGTGCGTGTTTGACAATCTTTTCTTGTTGGTATATATATATATATATATATATATATATATATATATATATATATATATATATATATATATATATATATATATATATATATATATATATATATATATATATATATATATATATATATATATATATATCAACAAGTATATATAATACACACTCTAGAACATTATAATTATATAATACACACTCCAGAACATTTTCATCTCAGAGAGGATTTTTCCCATTTTCAGCAAGCTTACCTCGTATGATTAAGGAAATGTTTTTGTCTTGTTTCACGAAGTATGAATAAATAACTCGCTGCTGCAAGTAACTCATTCACTTCATCTTTATTCAATTGTTTTCCTGTTAAATACGAATTATTATTAAAACACGAGCATTACATATTGGCGTGGTGAAGTCACACCGCGAAGATTCGTCGTAAAAGTTCGGGTAAGGACAGGGTTCGGAGGCTCAGTGTGGGCCTGACGCCACTCAGTATTTTTGTTCATCTCACTCGATAGAAGTATAAATGTTGAAGAGTTTCAGTGGATGGAGATCTTGAGTCATTTTGATACATTTTTAAACCTAAAAAGAGCAGCTGCGAGAATTGACAGCTACGGGGTGTATAAAAAAGGGAACAGTTCTCAAATGTCCAATAAACTGAAAATTACGAACATCCTGATATTTACAAGTGTGTGTGGGGATTGAAGCCAGTGCACTTTAGTTTTTCTGAGTTATGAGCAGAAATACTCAACACTGAACGTTTTGCTGTATATGAAACTGAAGCTATCGAATAACGCTTTTTGGTGTAGAAATTTCAAGACTTTAGCTAAAAGGGAAATATTTAAAAACTACAAAAATAATTGCCAATAATTTGCCATTTTTTGGCCGAATGGCAGTTGTCTTTGTATTTTTTAAATATATATATATATACCGGGTGTCCCAAAAAAAGTACTCCTGTTTGATTCGTAATAACTTCTAAACAAGTAGAGCTTTTAAAGAGAAATAACTTGCATTAAATAGAGGAAGGACTAACTTAGATTTTGATATATTACAGTTGTATTTTACTTAAAAAGTCACGGAGATATCAATGTTCAAAATCCGGAGCATATTTTGGGATGTGTCTAAAATTAGCGAAAATCAGCATATCAAATATTAATTCCAGCGTTTGTTTGCTTAATGACATATCCGGCTAATTTGTATTTCAGCGAATTGTCGTTAGGGTTTGTAAGGGATATGGCGTAGATTTAGACATCTTACATGTAAGTCTTAGCTCATTGTTTCCTGAAATATGAACTTCGAAATTATGCAAGTATTTAATAGGTCTTTACAAATTTAAAGGTACATGAAAGACCATGGAAGGCAGGCGCTTAAATTTTTCTTAAATAGCATAATTTTTTTTATGTTTTTAATGGGTTCAAACAGACTGAGTTGATTATTTCTCGGTTAGAGCAGGATGAATATTATTCTTTATTGAAAGAAGTAATATTGCTTTTTGCAAATACGCATCACCGCGTATCAATGCTACTATTTTGTTACGTTTTATTCCAAAAATGTTGCATGTCTCTGGGGAGTTGCTTAATAATTGTTATGTCTTATGAAGTATTATGGTTTGATTGTGTTTCATATAATTTTCAGTTTACTCTGAACTTGCCAAGATTAAGAAAAGGCAAAAGAGTTTGGGTGTTCTTAACAAGATTTCATGCATGGAACGTTGCAGAATTTAGAAGAGCTTCTGTCACAATTCCATTGTGACAGCATCCCTAAATCAGAACTACGAACGATCAATGACAATCCTTCGCGATGCAGTGATCTCATGAAATAAGGAAACGTATTCGTGCTAGGAACACACGCGAAATTTCGGACGAATAAATCTTGCTTGTATTTTGTACATATAATAATACTTTGTTTCATAATAAACAATTTGTCAAGTGTCATTTATTTACTGGTAATAGTGCATGTTTCAGTCGGGCAAATCTTGATTAATATTTGATATGCCGTTTTTTGCATGTTTCAGACAAATCGAGAAATATGCTCCCGATTTTAAACATTAATATCTCCGTGAATTTTAAGTAAAATACAACTGTAATATATCAAAATCTAAGTTAATCCTTCCTCTATTGAGTTCAAGTTATTTCTCTTTAAAAGCCTTACTTGTTTAGAAGTTATTACGAATCAAACAGGAGTACTTTTTTTTGGGACACCCGGTATATATATGTGTGTGTATATATATATATATATATATATATATATATATATATATATATATATATATATATATATATATATATATATATATATATATATATATATATATATATATATATATATATATATATATATATATATATGTAATATATATATATATATAT